AAAAAAACGACCATGTATAGTAAGGCGTTTTTTGCCGAAAAAAAACGACCATGTGCAATAAGGCGTTTTTGACCGAAAAAAACAACCATGTACAGTAAGGCTTTTTTTGGCGAAAAAAACGACCATGTATAGTAAGGCGTTTTTAGCCCGAAAAAAACGACATAGTATAGTAAGGCGTTTTTAGCCCGAAAAAAACGACATAGTATAGTAAGGCGTTTATGGCGCGAAAAAATAACCGAAAAAAATAACCATGTATACTAAGGCGTTTTTAGGTTCCAAAAAACGACCATGTATAGTAAGGCGTTTTTAGCTGAGAAAAAATAACCATGTAAGGCGTTTTAGCCTCCAAAAAAACGACCATGTATAGTAAGGCGTTTTTAGCTGAGAAAAAATAACCATGTAAGGCGTTTTAGCCTCCAAAAAAACGACCATGTATAGTAAGGCGTTTTTCGACTGAAAAAAACCTCCATGTATAGTAAGGGGTTTTTAGCCTCCAAAAAAAACGACCATGTATTGTCAGGCGTTTTTGTCCAAAAAAAAACGACCATGTATATTAAGGCGTTTTTGGCCTGAAAAAAACCACCATGTATAGTTGACGTTTTTGGCCGAAAAAAACGACCATTATTGTAAGCCGTTTTTGGTCGAAAAAAAACGACCATGTATCGTAAGGCGTTTTTGTCTTGTCTTCTTCTCTGCTTTAGTCAGAAAAAAACCCTCCAAACAGTCAAATTGTTTCAAGATCCTTTGTTGAGACTGGCAACCTTACCGAAAGGCTGAGATGCTATCGTGCTGGGTGTCTCATCTTTTTGATTGGAGGGAGTTGCCTGGGGGGTGGATCTCTCCTGGTCCGACGAGTTGCTCGCACGCTAGCTCAGCTGAAAAAAGGCCACATGCGCGGACGCCATTTTGCTGCACCAGTGCACCGCACTTGATGAATCTCCTTGTGCACACCTGTCTTCAAATCACTCCCAGGCCTGACGTCACTTCCGCCAATCCAACGTGGGATCGGCTCCCACTCAGTGACAAGTGTAGTCTCTCTTCTGCCTGTGGTTAGCTGTCAGCCCCAACCCCCCATCCTCTTTAGGATGGGGTTGTTGAATATGGATGCATGCAACTTCTCTTGCTTGTTTCTGAAATTATATGTCCACCACTTCCAGTTTGAGTAGCATTTATTCAGATATTTTCAGGAACTTATCAGGAGTAAAAATCACTGCAGGCATTCTCCTCCCCATTTTTTCATAAAAAATAGAAACAAAAACAAATAGTGGTGCGCGCAACACATTGGTTAATGGGGGAGAGGGGGTCACTTGCTGGACATTTTTTAATAACACAGAGTGTAAATAGCACCACACAAATCAGCCATTGATCACAGTGGCTCATAAATTTACTATTATAGATCCATCAATTGTTTATGTTCATTTTCTATATTCTGTCAGTCGTTCCTTTTTCAGATTCCCAACACACACACAGATATTAAAGAGCAACAATGTACATTATTCCATATGTTAATCAATGTAATAAATCATAAGACGGACACAAACAGTGCGCTCGCCCGCACACACGCACACGCACGCGCACACACACACACACACACACACACACTTGAGTTTACTTGACTGTGCTTGAAACGCATGCAGGCTTTCCCTCAACACTCGTGTCCCATTGGCCAGGCATTACTAGCCAAGTTACAGACTCTGGCACTCACTAATGAGACTGTCAATCATTACTGTTATAAAAAGTTTGTTTTCCCAAAAAAAAAAAAGGCCGGCGGCATGCGCTCCTTCCTCTCAGAGTAAATCCCTTCCGTCATGCGATTTTTGGGACACACTCTTCATTCAAGCGGCTGCCGTCGCCACGGCAACACAACCCACTGACACCGAAAAGAACAAATCAGCGTGAAAGACGCGACACTTCCCTGCATCATCCGCATCCGATCACCACCAGTGAGAAGCGTATTCAAAATGATACATTAGACGGGTCTACTTCCAATGAATTAAGGAGCAAAATAAGACTTTCGAGTTATGAGTTCGAGTTTCCATCAAGGCTTATTAATGATACATTCAGAATGCTATAATCGTGTGTCTGTCTGTCTGTCTACCTGAAAGCAGACAGTGTATCAGTGTGAGTCTGTGGGCGTGCGCGCGCGTATAGGCTCCCCAGCCCGTAAATGGAACACATTTCCGTAGGAAACACTCGCACCTCATTGGCTCGACACAGTGCAACAATCCTCCAATGAGGTAAGTCGGAGCGTCTCTGAGGCCCCCCCCATAACAAAGAAATTGAGTTGAGTGGCTATTTGTGCGTGCATGTGTGCGTTTTTGGGCGTCCCTCGCTGAACGGAGAGGATACGGTTGCCGCGTTGACATGTCGTTGAGCAGAGAGAAAAGGTGTACCGGAATGTGTCTAGACCTCTGCTCCTTTCAAGCCGATTCGTTCGTCCTCCTGTCAGTCACTGCTGGGCTTCTTCAGTGAGAAGGCCAGGATGCCAAAATGGCCGCTGAGTTGTTGGACCTGCACCCAAGAAAAGTAAATCATTGACGACATGATATTTGCCAAATAATGACTCTCACAACAACTGAACAGTAGCACGACAGCACGTGTCCTCACCACCGACACGCCGTAGTGTATGTGCGCCAGCACGACGACGGCCGTCCACAAGTGCAGCAACAGCATTTCATCGGCCACCAGGCCCGACACGGCCAGCGTCACCACGGCAGCCATCGGTAGCAGCAACCAGCTCAGCGGCTGGCAGCGCGTGTTGCTCATTTGACAGACGATCAGCTTGCACTGAAACACACGCGCGAGCACAGCGCTAAATGATAGTCATGCCAAAATGCAAAGTGGCACTGTCAAGGAAATCAAGGAAACGATTCACATGAGCAAACTTCAGTGCTCAAGAGCCATCTTTTATTTTGAAATGCACATGTACTTGGTTTTAAAAACAAAATAACCTACATATAGAGATGAAAGTGGACTTTCCTGAAAATACAAAAATACATATATACATACATATATATACACACACACCGTATTTTCCGCACTAAAAGGCGCACTGGATTATGAGGCGCACCTTCAATGAATGGTCTATTTTGTAATTCTGTTCATATATTGACGCAATGGATTATAAAACTCAATCTACAATGCATCCACTAGATGGAGCTATGCTCCTTCCATTTGACTCGAGACATTCATGACCGCCTCCGAAAAACGTAAATTAACGATTACTTCAATGAAACTACGAAAATTGAAAATGCATCAAAAAAGAAAATGAAGCGAGGAAATCACAAAATAAATTCTACAGCCCGCCTACAAAATTTATTTTGTGATTTCTTTATTTGTGAATACAGGACACAAAGGAATAAACACTTCTGACAGTCCAGTCTCCTACATTTTACTGACATCTGATTTTTCTGTTGGAGCTATGCTCAAGGAAATGCCAACAGAACGATCAGATGTCAGTAAAATGTAGGAGACTGGACTGTCTCAGAAGTGTTTGTTATTTCTTCCTTTGTTGTGTATCCACAAACAAGGAAATCACAAAATAAATTTCGAGTGGAACGGAAGAAGAGAAGGCAAGGAGACGGACAAAGACGTACCTGTATTTGGTGAGACTGTGAAAACCATTAAAGTGTGCATTTTTAAAAAATCAACACCACCGCTCTCCTTTTTTCGGAGCTGCAATAAAAAGCAGCGGCACAGTTCACTGAACCAACAACAAGTTATAACACTGTAAGCATGTCTCCAGCAAGGAGCCATCTTGGGGTCGACATATTACTGTAATGACCATACACAAGGCGCATCGGATTTTAAGGCGCGCTGTGAGCTTTCAAGAACATGGAAGACTTTTCAGTCTGCCTTATAGTGCGGAAAATACGGTATATAATTTTGACTGACTTATCAGGTTTGTTGACCTTTCTAATGTCGTCGGACAAAAAAAATCTCTGTTCAAGTCCTTTTCCTCAAGCCATGACCACTTGAACGTGTTCCTAACACTCGCTTCTATTGCACGTATGTCACTCGCTTCTATTACACGTAATCAGATGTCAGTAAAATGTAGGAGACTGGACTGTCTCAGAAGTGTTTGTTATTTCTTCCTTTGTTGTGTATCCACAAACAAGGAAATCACAAAATAAATTTCGAGTGGAACGGAAGAAGAGAAGGCAAGGAGACGGACAAAGACGTACCTGTATTTGGTGAGACTGTGAAAACCATTAAAGTGTGCATTTTTAAAAAATCAACACCACCGCTCTCCTTTTTTCGGAGCTGCAATAAAAAGCAGCGGCACAGTTCACTGAACCAACAACAAGTTATAACACTGTAAGCATGTCTCCAGCAAGGAGCCATCTTGGGGTCGACATATTACTGTAATGACCATACACAAGGCGCATCGGATTTTAAGGCGCGCTGTGAGCTTTCAAGAACATGGAAGACTTTTCAGTCTGCCTTATAGTGCGGAAAATACGGTATATAATTTTGACTGACTTATCAGGTTTGTTGACCTTTCTAATGTCGTCGGACAAAAAAAATCTCTGTTCAAGTCCTTTTCCTCAAGCCATGACCACTTGAACGTGTTCCTAACACTCGCTTCTATTGCACGTATGTCACTCGCTTCTATTACACGTATGTCAGCTTGCCTGTTTACCTGTTTGAACATTGCGCTGGGGCCGTACCTGGCCGATCACGCATGAATTAATTTACACAAAACACTATTCAAATACTCGACATTCAATGATTAATCTTATTTTTGTGTGCGCACGTGCACCCTTTGTGGCTTGCATTCTCGCTGAAATTTCAAAATCGCAGAGATATGGCGAGATCATGACAGTGCGAGGGGAGGGGTGTTACTGTGACTAGTGTCCGTGCCTCAACATTGCTACGCTCGTGAAAGCAAAACAACGAACTCAAACGCGTGTTCGTTCAATGATGTCAACTAATATCCGGATTCATTTTAGGCAATTTTTCCTCAATTTTTCCGGAGGAAATGTCATGAAAATTTGAAAATCCAGAGTTCCGGGAAAATCCGGAGGACTTTCATCTCTATATAAACCAAACAATTAGAGGAAAAAAAAAGTGAAATGATCGCAAGAAGCACGAGCGAATTCTGTGTCAAACGCGTTGACTGGAGGACACCCACCGTGACGTTGGCAAAGGCCGTGCCCACCATGAGGTAGTAGAGCCTGGGCTGCAGCTCCAGGATGTCGGAAGGAGAAAAGAGCACCCAAATGGTGGACAGGACGAATAGCAGCACGGGTGACAGGAAGGGCAGGAAGGCCTCGTACACGCTGCTGTGTTTCAACGAGTTGCTGCGGTACGCCCTGAACAAACACAACCAGGTCCCCCTTATGCCAAAGCTACATACTAATTCGTGACGACGACAACAAATCCTACCTGAACACGTTGCAGAGGCTCATAGGCAACGTCACCAAGAAGGAACAGGCTGAAAATGATCAGACAGTATTAAATTGCAAACGTGCGAGATGGTTCAAACACTCACCATGCGCTCCTCACAAGACCTCATTTTTGTCACATTCAAAGGATTTCAATTGCTGAAGATGAGAACAAATCTCGTCAGACTGGTGACTGCTCAACAGTCTGAGGCGTTCAAAACACCGCCTCTTCTCGCACTCTGCAGAAGCAGTGCAACAGTAAGTTGCCTCCAGTTGGAAAGTCTGGACGTTTCTTTTGACAATAAGTGAAAAGGGTGAGGTTAGTAGATGTGGTTGAGTAAGTGCAACACTTGAGTGCAGAAGGAACGGAGATCGTGGAAAGGTAATAAAAGCATCTGGTTGTATTACTGGTTTCTTACAAAATGAATGTTCCGTATTTTCAGCACTAAAAGGCGCACTGGATTATGAGGCGCACCTTCAATGAATGGCCTATTTTGTCTTTTTTTTTCTCCATATATTGGATGCAGTGGATTATAAAACGCAATCACCAATGCATCCGCTAGATGGAGCTACGCTCCTTCCATTCGACTCGAGAGGCGTTCATGACCGCATCCGAAGAACGTAAACTAACGATTACTTCAATGAAACTACGAAAATTGAAAATAATGCATCAAAACAGAAATATCAAGGGAGGAAATCACAAAATAAATTCTATACCCCGCCCCCTACAGAATTTATTTGTGATTTCCTTGTTTGTGAATACACAACAAAGGAATAAACAAACACTTCTGAGACAGTCCAGTCTCCTACATTTTACTGGCATCTGATCATTCTTTTGGCATTTCCTTGAGCGTAGCTCCAACAGAACGATCAGATGTCAGTAAAATGTAGGAGGCTGGACTGTCTCAGAAGTGTTTATTTATTCAAACGTGGATATCACAAAATAAATTCTGTAGGGGGGCAATAGAATTTATTTTGTGATTTCCTGGCTTGATTTTCTCTTTTGATGCATTATTTTCAATTTTCGTAGTTTCATTGAAGGAATAGTTCATTTATGTTTTTCCGAGGCAGTCATGAACGGAAGAAGAGATGGCACGGAGTCGGACAAAGACGTACCTGTATTTGGTGAGACTGTGAAAAACATTAAAGTGTACGTTTAAAAAAAAAAAACAAAAAACACCACCACAGCTCTCCTTTTTTCAGAGCTGCAACAAAAACTTATTTGATAAAGCAGTGACACAGTTCACTGAACCAACAGCAAGTTATAACATTGTAAGCATGTCTCCAGCAAGGAGTCATCTTGAGGTCAATTATTACCGTAATGACCATACACAAGGCGCACCTGATTTTAAGGCGCGCGGTGAGCTTTTTAGAAAATCGAAGACTTTTTGGTGCGCTCTATAGTGCAGAAAATACGGTAAGTTTGAAGAAAAAAAAAATCATTTTGGAATACAGCTGTCACAAAGGGAAAAGGTGATGCGCTGCAAATACTTTTTTTTGCGCTTGTAAATGACCTCAACGGTTCAATTGAACAGCGTTTAACTTGGCACAGTAATGCTGTGCTACATATTATGCGTCTCACCCACTATCATGAAGGTGAAAAGGTCTCTGTAGAGAAAGTAGAACAGGACAGGCTGGTACCAGGTCTCCACACCCACCACTGCTGTCACCACGTAGACCAGGGAGATGGTCTGGAAAGCGGGGGGGGGGGGGTTAGCCGGAGGGTACACAGGGCGACTTAAACCACATTGTGAATAACTGATCATGTTGATGCAATTTTCTCAACCTCACCACTTGACTGATGTCGTAGCCCCACGGCAGGAAAAGCACACCTGTGTTGTACTTTTCCCAATGCGACAGGATGAAGGAGAACAGCACCACCCAAAGGATGTAGTAAAGCGTGGCCACGCCCACGCCGCTGGGGCCGCGCCCAAATATAGAATAGACTGTGGCCACGAAGAAGATGCAAGCCCAGCTGTCCAGCCCGTGGTCAAACAGCTCCCCGAGTGGTGTGGAGGAGTTGGTGCGGCGCGCCTGCTTGCCGTCCACGCCGTCTGCACAGATGCGTCGTCACGGTGTGCCGGGAAACAAACGGAAGAGGGAGGAGGAGGAGGAGACGTAAACGCAGTTGCTTACCGAGCGTGTAGGCCAAGAAGTTGAAGATCCCCGCCGTCACCCACACCCAGCTCGGCACATGCTGATGTCCGACGGCTGAAACGCACGCACGCACGCAAAATTAAAAAAGCAGACGACAGCACACAGAAGACAAATTTGCTGCAAGGTTCCTGAAATGCTTGTATTTAGTTTGGTGATCAGTTACCATCAGCTAACATTGGCAGTTCAATTAGTGACGAAAGCGTCTGTGTTGGGATAATGTGAAACCGGGGTTACTTGTGTGAACACACCCGAGGCGTTGAAGTCATAGTCGTAGAAGGCCAACATGAGGAAGTTCACCACGAGGAACATGAAGCCGGTGAACGTGATGAGGTTGGGAGCCAGCCACTTTGGTAGAAACTAAAATCAAAGAAACGTAAGCCTCGGCGTGAGGATAAGAAATGATGAGAAAGAACAAAGTGACTCAGCAATAGTAGTAACGTGGTATCAACCGGCATGAAATTATTATGGCGGTGAAGGCATTTTAGAAGGAAGGTGGCCTTTTGGCCAGATGCACTTTTAGAATTCTAATTTTATTTCTAAACCAAAAAAATAAAAATTGTCATAATACCATATGAAAATAATGGACACAAAGTCATGTCTCTCTCCTCCTTACGGCAAAACTGTTTACACCGCAAATGGCAAGCTACTCCCTTTCAACCCTTTCATGTATATCATCGCTTGGAACACAGATACATGAAATTCCTGGTGAATGGCTCTACCTTGTGTGTCTCCACAATAAACCAAAAATATTGTGGCTGTCTGATGATTTTTTTCCCCCCCCAGTAACTTTTTATCAGATTCGATTCTCGCCCTTTAAAGCTTTACAAATGCCACATCAACTCTGCAGGCAACACAGGTCAAGCGAACCATAGGGGACATCTAAACACTACACTGGATTGCATAAGATGTCATGAGAAAGTTCATTACAACCATCCCGTGGGGCAATAATGTGGGACATGATGCAACACTGCAAGGAGTGTCATCCAAGTGTCAGTCATCGTCAAAACAGGCACATCAACGCACACCCAAGGCTAATGTGTTTCTCACCTTCACCACAAAGTTCCAGAAAGGGTGCATGACGTAAACGGACAGAGGATTGGAGTCCACTGCGCTGTACTGCAAACAGACACACGACACAGTACGCTATCAGTGTCATTTGTCATCGTGACACGCATGCAAGTGAACGCAACTGCCCGTGACTTGCTTTCATTGCGTTCTGTCAGCAGTTGGTCGCATTTTAAATATATTTGTAAAATATGGTGGTAGGGCCCAACTGACAATTCGAGTTACTGAACTAACGCGACATCGGTTCATGAACAGTCTTGACAGGTTGATTCTCGCACTGCATAAATATCATTTGTCTTTTTTTTTTTTTTAAATCATACAAATCTGACAAAAAAAAAAAAAGGTAGGTTCACATTTGCGTTTTGAAAATGAGTCAGACCTGGCAATTGAGTAAAATGAAAATCAAATGTTAATTATACAAATGAAATTTACCAAGCAAAACCACATTGCAACTATACAAGTGTCTTCAAACATAGAGTATTTAGACTATATTTTAGTTGTCGGCCAGCTTTTAGGTTTTCCTCATTGAAAGTCCATTAATCAATGCCAGCCGCGCAAAAACAAACAAAAAAATGCCTTTTTTAAAAAAAAAATAAAGTACAATCAATCGCCAACTTCTCCATTACAACCTCAGAATGCTCAGCGTGGCGACATTACACTAATAATGGAAGGCAGCAGGAAGGATGAGGAAACCGCACGTTTCATGTGATCACACGTACAAGCTCAAACTGTTGCACTAACTCACAATATCTCAATTCATTTGCATTCGCCATGCTCTCAAGAGAGTGGCAGTTAAATAGCACCAGGGGGAAAAATATGTTCTGATGTGTCTCATGAGGAGGGGGAACCAGGGTAAAATAATTACAACTCGGAAGTCCCGATCACATTTGAGGCACCCAAGTCACTTTATTTTTAGCATCTGCCGCTACAGAGTCCCGATACCTTGGCAATGCATTAGGAAAAAAGTGGACATCCTAAACTGTTTCTGTTCTCTTCACTTTAGTTTTGGATAAGATGTACAATGATGCCCTTTCAGTTTACTAAAAGCAAGGGTGCATGTAACAATTTTGGTGTTGTCCTCAAAGGAGCAGCAGAGGAAGTGTCAAGGCATCCTCTGACCTCTGCATAATCATTCTTATTGCCATCTCCTCGGCCCACCAAAAAAAAAAAAAAAAATTACTTCAGGAGATCCCAAACACACTTTTATTCAAGCATTACCATTGCATCATCAAAGCGCGAAAGCTATTTTCAATACTTACCAACACTATAGATTTGTGAAAATTATGAAATGTATCAAATTTTGACATCGAGATTCAGCAGCGTTACACTGATGACTATTTCACTACTCAAAACATTTGCTCAATTTCCCGACAAAGAAAAAAGGGGCTTGTTTCTGCAGAAAATCTGCGCCAACATTGTGAAGACACATACAGTTCTCGACAGTTTCAAAACCCATCCAGAACACTATCCGCAGATTCCCATAAGAGTTTCAAAGGTTATTCCGTTTTTCTTGATTTTGCACACTGTGGTCAATTTAAAATGACTTTTGTACTCACAGCTCAGACAGTAATCTACAATTTGAAAATGCAATTTTTAATGCTTTCATTTGGGGATTTTTAAAGCAAGGCAATGTAGCTTGAGCCATAAATGCTATGGAATAGAAGCAAACTGTTATGATCTGCGTTTACATACATACATACATAGACACACACATACATACATAGACATACATTGACATCGATGGGCTAGCGGGTTAGCATGCTACCTTGTACTTGTCGAAGCCTGCGAGTTGCTCCTGCGTGACGTATTCGTACAGAAGAGCCATCATGGAACAGTCCGTCGCCGCTACGCAATACAACAAATGACGATGAAACTGCGGGCGACCGTTCCAGGTTTGATTTCAGCGGCCGAGGCGAAGTTAAGTGATCATAGAAGCGTAGCCGCTGTCGGTCACGCCGGGTGACGCGATATCGGAACACTCTTTGGCCGCTCCTCCCTAGAATAGGGCGACACCCCACTAGTGATTTGGACTCACTAGTGACGCCTGTAGGCCGGATGACCACAACGCAGCGTTCACTCATTGCAGAAAGAGACCTACTACATGTGAGTTACGCTCACTACCGTCATTGGGAACCCAGGTGACCACAGCACCCCTAACATTTCCATGTGTAATAACGCTCATACCAGGGTTCACCTAAGTTTTTGAATTTGAGGACTATTTATCGTTGAATAATGCGAAGGGCTAAATCTAAGTCTTCAGTGACGATGCTTTCGGGACGGGGGAAGAAAGAAGACTAACTGTAGGGGAAAAGGCGTAAGCACGCAAGGGTCCATCAATATTACATTCAATTTGGCTACAGTATAAGATTGAGAACGAATAAGTGGAACCCAGAGCAGAATTGCGTTTCAAGATAGGTACATTCTAATTATCATGGTAACCGATGTTCTTGCGACGATTTTGCGCATACACGCGTTTCACCACGCGATCAATGGAAAAAAGAAATGTCACAAAGCGTGCCCACGTGGGAAGAAACGGTCAGGCTGTATAATAACAGACTAGGATAACAATGACGTCCCACCCGTCCTAGAGTAAGATCCAGCCATGACATCCCATGACAAAAGTGTGCACACGATTTTATTTTAATGGTATGTATTTCAAATTTATGAAAAAATACATCAAAAATTCACGATTAAAAAAATGTTAATGTTACGGCACCGTGGCATACTAACACACGGTAGTAACAGGTCTGGGCTTCAAGTACAGTAGTTGTTTTCACAGAAGCACCTGAACGCTTCATTTCCGTTTGTACAGAAGTTATCATATTTGCATGATGTCGGTGAACGCAACATACGTCTGCGCTTTGGCAACAGCAAGAGTACTCTGTAAAATAGTTATGAATAGGAAGACGTCACTCGTACTTCCGGAAGGTGATTGCACCGTTACACATTCAACTTTGTCACTTAAGTAAGGTAGAGTAATTGGGGAGAAAACGAGGTAGCATGCTGAAAGGATGAGTTTAGCTTTTTTCTCTACCAGAGCAGGTGGATTGTATGAAGTGAAAAGAAGATGCGGCGTGAGAAAAGTGCTTCAAAAGGAACACTGAATACCGACTTTAATTTACATTTTAACAGGTAATTGAGTCAAAGACGTGCAAATCCAGACATGCCTGTATTTGACATCATTGTGGGACTGCATAATCAATTCAGGAGCTAAATTAAATTAGTCATGGTGGATGTTGCATACGCGCTTCTAACTCGCGCTTATTCCTCGATGACACAAAAACATACACGTGGTCAATGAACGCAGCACACGGCAGCGTTATAACATTTCCCGGAGTTCATGCAACGCATCAGTCGTAGCGACTGACAGCAGAGTTTGGAGGAAAAAAAACGGACGGCGACATGACATCAAAACATACGGATATCGAGCGATGACCTAATAAATATGATCGATATTTATTCGTGCATTGCGGAGAATATGTCCGTGCTAATATCCAACAATGATCTGAAGACGACACGCAGTGAATTAGGACCGGAGCGACGGTCTTTCTTCCTAGCAACGACCGCTAGCTGGGTAGCTAATTTGTCCCTTGTAGCTTAGTAACGTTCAGGCAGCGTTCAAGGACCAAACATCGGAAAGCTGCATCCACGTAAACGTCTAATGCTCGGACTGGATAGAAATCAAACCCTCTGGTCCTCCTGTCCGACGGATGAGACAGCGAGAGAGGCTTTAAATCCCCACCCCCCGATGCCTGAGCCTGTTTTGTGGGTCAGCTGTTCGTCTTGGTGGCGGCGGTGGAACCAAACCATCGCAATTGTTGTGCCCTGCCGGATAAACATGAGCTGGTTAGTTGGAAACAATCGTACTCGTCAAATGTTCACACATTTACAGCATTGTGTTAAATAAATGAGTGTCGTCGAGTAAATGTGTCTTATTTGGTCGTAGTTATTCTCCCCGCCTCTGGGTATCGCTGTTGCTTGTTTACATTGTCACACCCACCCGTTCAAATCTGATCCAATGACATGGGGAAAAAAATGGAGAAAGATCACCATTTTATCCAAATAAAATCACTATACTTTGGGAATCATATTGAGAAAAGGCTGTAATCGTATCCCCCCCCCCCCAATAGTACCAAGTCATGGCACGTGGGATTCCTCTTGTGGTATGCAAAAGATTCTGAATGAAATGAAACATAACAGTGGCCGAAACATTTTTTAATCTAGTACAGTGCATTTAAGTACAGTTCAGTTGCATTTAACTTCATTTAAAGCATTTATTATTTCATTATTTTTAGTTCCAATATTTAAGTACACTCCTGTAACAGTTTAAATTGCATGACGTTAGAGGTTTACAATAATACAATAATTTACTGCTGATACTTGGAGAGCCAAGTATTTTGTTTTTGAGGTGCTACTTGTTCTAAAAGTTTGTGAAACATTGACTGTACTGTGTTAAACATCAAGCTCAACCTTCAAAGCAGAAATATTCTTCCTTAAACCATCCATTCATTTGACTTTTTCTGTATTTTTGGCGGCTGGTTCATCAGATTTTGTGGGGCGTGAAAGCATTCTAAGAGGAAACGCGGCCATGGAGGTTCGCTTTGGCAACATCGTATTCAACTCCAAGTTCGACTCAGGCAACCTGGCCCGCGTGGAGAAGGTGAATAAGCACATAACGAGCTTCCTTAATGATGCTGCTCCGGCCCCCGGAGGGGCCGCATGCGCCTCCAACATCCCCGACTACGAGTTTAACGTGTGGACGCACCCCGACTGTGCCGGCACGGAACACGAGAACGGCAACAGGTGACTACACTGTATAACGCTAGAAATGAAATGAATGAATGAAATGAATAACATTGGAAATAATCAATAATGGTGCAGTTTTGTTGACCAAAAAGTTTTGAGAATGAAGCCCCAGTTTGGCAAGGAAGTTGGCATTTTGTGAAAGTCACAAACGGAAGTTGCAATTTGACAGGAAAATTTTATACAGTTACCTCAAAATAGATGGCATATTGCAAGTAATGTTTTGAAAGACAGCTTTTGTATTTCTTTAACAAATGGTTTTGTATTTGAGGTCATGGTTCCACTTCAGCGTGCAGGGCATGGCGCCTGGAAGGCTGCTCAAGATCAATGTGATGAACATGAACAACCAGAGGAAGCTTTACAATCAAGGCATGGCGCCTCTCGTACGGACTTTCCCCGGAAAGAACAAGTGGGAGCGTGTCCGAGACAGACCCGTCACTGAGGTACCAAACACGCTTCATCAAAGAGTGACAGAATTAACACAATGCATCTTTTGCTCCTCTTGTTCTTCAGATTGTTCGCAACCAGTTCATCTTGTCCTTCACTCACCGTCTGCTGGAGGTTCGAGGCGCCACCACCTTCTTCTCCTTCTGCTTCCCTTTCTCGTACGCCGAGTGTCAGGAGATGCTGCAGTCCTTGGACGACAGCCACCGCCACGCGGCACGGCTCGGTCCTTCCAGGTAACACCGCAAACTCATGAAATGATTACAAAGAAAGTTACTGACAAATAAAAAGTCATATAAGTACAGTATACTTTCGGACAAATGGTCCCAATGTTTTCTGTGCGTGTCAGCCCCGCAGATGAGGTTTACTACCGGCGTGAGCTGCTGTGTCGCTCTCTGGACGGCAACCGTGTGGACCTGCTCACTGTGACCAACTGCAGCGGCATGCAGGACGAGCGTGAGCCTCGGCTGCCGCAGCTCTTCCCTGACGCTGAAACGCCGAGACCTCACCGCTTCGAGAACAAAAAGGTACAAATACTTGTTAGCGTAGGGGTGGCTAGGACCGTTCCTTAGCTTTTGTGTCACGCCATCCTTTATTATAACCTTATAAGCAAACCCCTCGTCACCCAAATTGCTCGCATTGCTCACATTATTTGTCGGGACTTTTGAACATGGGTCTTGGCAGGTGTTCTTCCTGAGCAGCCGCGTGCACCCCGGAGAGACGCCGTCCTCGTTTGTCTTCAACGGCTTCCTGGACTTCATCCTGCGGAAAGACGACCCGCGAGCTCACGCGCTCAGAAACATGTTCGTCTTCAAGCTCATCCCCATGCTCAACCCAGATGGCGTCGTGCGAGGGCATTACAGGTCAGAACAACTTACCGCACTTGTTTAATGAGACACTTAAGGTACTACCGCACAGTCTAAGAATAATGCGGGAGGAGTGGACTGGAAAAAAATAATAATAATAATCGGACAGAAACCAAGGCAGAAGTATTTTGAGAATAAATTTAAGAGTTTGCATTGCAACAGTGCAAGATCGATTTAGCCAATGAACTCCTGATTTCACGGAATTAGTGTATTTTTGGCACAGTATGCAGTTTAGCTGTTGTTTTGAATGCGTAGGACCGACTCGCGGGGCGTGAACCTGAACAGACAGTACATGAATCCCAGCCCCGAGCTTCACCCATCCATCTACGCCGCCAAAGCACTGCTGCTCTACCATCACTTGCACAACCATACGACACACGATAAGGCGCAGCCCAGTGCCCCCCTCGCCCAGGCCCCTCCCCTTGACGTCCAAACCCTTCAACCTCACGTCGAGGATGCCGATCACAAGGTTCCTGCCCTCACCGCCCTGGAAGTCAGTTTGAACCAGCGTAATGCAGCTAAGGACGCGACGCCCCCGAAGCCCGAGCTCACCGCGGTGACGGAGGAGAACGGATGGATGGCGAAGGAAGACGTCAGCAGCTCTTCCAGCTCCTCGGAGATCATTGTCGCCGCCGTGCCGCCGGACGGACCGCAACAGCCACCAAAAGAGGGACCACCTACAATACTGGTGGCAAAAGAGAAGGAGCAGGAATCCCATCCGCCAAAGGACGGTGGCGTGGCCTATTATGTGGACTTGCACGGCCATGCCTCCAAGCGGGGCTGCTTCATGTACGGAAACAATCTGCCTGATGAGAGCCAACAGGTAAACAAAAACAGAATTTTAAGAAGAATAC